AGAAGGCAAGACACCTGGACAAAGAGCATCTGACTCTTCTAAGCAGGGGATGTCCTGGTATTACAAAGCCCCGACAAAGCACTATTCAAACACGGCAATTCACAAACTGGGATCCAGGAGCAGTGTCTTCTGTTTGACTATTGTCAACATTATTACAAGTCTAGAATTTTTAAAAAGTGCAGTCAAAATCCAATTTAAATTACTTGAGGCTGATTCCTTCAATACTTTAATTTTTCCTGTTTTCCTGCCTAAATGGTCAAATATGTGTTTTCTGATTAAATCAGCATGTATTCACATCCTCTAGACATAAGGAGCTAATGATCCGACATTTGACATGAGGCCTGTTGTGTTATTTCTGGTGTAGGATATATTGTAAGAGAAGTGCATGGACGGATGGGCTTCTGGGTTCCTGTCCAGAGAAGGTCCTCTGCCCTGGCTGGTAGGGTGGGAAAGGGCTGACGCACTGACTCAGTGGTTTCCTGTACATGGCTTCACTCTCAGTTCTTCCACCCTTGAAGCGACGTTTCAGAGTCTCCCCCTGAAGGAGTGCCAGAACCACAAGCAGGGGTGCCGTAAGTCAGAACACTGCCGTGCAGCAAATGCACAGATCACCGTGACACAGAGAAGCAGTCTGTCCTCTGACCGCGAGAGTGTTGTCTCCACTGGTCTATTCATTGGAATGCTCAGAAGTGCGGGAAGATTCCCTAACTGTGCCATCCGGCACAACGGCAACAGTCACACGCGGCCACTGAGGGCTCGAAATGGCAGGGAAACGAAGCCTCTTGTTTGCCTTTAATGAACTAAAATGTAGTAGCCAAGTGTAACTGCTGGTTGTTGTGTCGGACAATGATGCTCTAGATCAGTAGCAGCTCTGTTTAAAAGGTGCTACACTCACATATGTACAGCGTCTTTTACTTCAGTGCCTCAAAACCCAGCGTGCATTTGTCATTTCACTCACGGCAGCAGCCTGAAAACGAGAGCAACGCGACTCTCCATGAACACGTGACACGAGTAGTCGCCCTCAGCACAGCTGTTTCATGATGGAACAGATGAGCTCTTCCTCCTTGTAACGACTCACGAAAAAACCCGTAATTGTAGTGCTGAGCAGCCCATGCCTTTATGTCGTGAGTGAAAGTTTTAATCCGGCCCTCTGCTTTGATTAAAGTTATTCATAAGCTTGGGGGGAGAGGGGGAGTTCTCCCAAGGTAAAGGCGAATCTTAATAGTCTTGCAGTTTTTAAATCAGGTTCCAGTCTTGGCCACCTGTTTCCTGTGCTCTCAGTAAGAGAGCTCCCAAACCGTGACTCAGAGAAAACAAATGCCGCCATGACTTACAGAGCTTGGCAGACTGCCGTCTCCTTCCGTGGTCCTACAAGAGCCTGAATAAAGTCGCCCTCACTTGATCGGAAAGTGTTTTGTTATAGACTTTCAATTTTATAACAAGTATTAAAAAGGAGAAAATGACAGGAAATATTTTTTGCTTGACCTAATAATATCTTGGGAAATTCTTATTAAATGAAGCTTTTCCAAGTATGAAAAGAAATTCAGTCTTAATAAGCCACAGCATCCATCCACTGGAGGGTACAACCACAGACCGTGCCAGGAGGAACTCAGACTTACGCAGCTATTTAAGTTGGGGGAGCGGCGCAAAACATACTCTTTGGGGGTGTTTTTACCTCGCAGTGAACAAACCGGTCCATTTTCTTGATTCTTAGAGCGCTTATTTCTGAATTGACTTGGAATATCTAATGAAAGGTCTTAAAAGAAGGAAAACAAAGAATTGTCAAAAAGCATGTAACTATCCTCAATGAAAAACATCTTCAAAACCAGGTTTACTTCTAAAGCTTCACTGCATGTCCACAGACCAGCGAGCTCTTACCTAGGAAAGGGTCGAACTTCCTGGACTCTGTCCCACATATGAGACAGTTCACCTCGTTTTGGAGAATCCCACCAAATACAGCTGTGACGACAGTCCATGCTCCATGTCTTAAAAAAAAAAAAAAAGGAAACTAGCTCAGTGAAAAGCATTCTTTTAACAGTTGAAAAGGTAAACAAATTATTTGTAAAAGATGAAATGAAAGAAGAAAGCAAGGCGCCCTCACCACGCCCCTCTTCAATCCCACCACTTTCTCGGGGAGTAGCCGACACACAGGATGGACATACAGGCCGCTTCTGGTTTCAGGGTCAGTGCTCGTCATGAACAAAGACAACACACCAAAAATACCTTGGAAAATGAAGGGCTACACAGAATTCCTTCATGCTGATGCTCACGCTGCTACATTTAATTAAATCGAAAACAGCTTTACTGAGAAACAATGCCTCTAAAAACTCACCGTAGTTCTTCTTATAACCTCTTCCATGGAGGAAAAAAATGCCCATCAAACTTTGGGTTATAATTATATTCTATTTATGTGGCATTGATTTCAACCGTTACTTAATTAAACAAGGTCCATAAATAAATTTTGAAATTGCTGCTTTATTTACCCCATATGCCCACTGAGTCTTTAACACTGACTGCTCATTCAGGCTCTTCCACTGACGGCTCAGCGGCCCTCAGGCGATTTCGACTTCTGGCCGTCCCTGGGGTGTCACAGCAGAACTGTGCTCTGTGGGTTTTCAGCGGCCGACTGTTCAAAAGATCACCAGGACTTTCTTCTGCGGCACCACTGGGCTCAGACCCCACAATCTCTTTGTTATTGGCCAACATTAACTGCTCACACCAGGAACTCCCTTGTGCTGCTAGAGTGCTTTCTGTTGGCACTAATGATAATCCACGGACTAAATAGCAGAGATTTGCCAGTTATTTCTCCCATATCACCCCACCCCACCGTTGGCAGGTGTGTTCAGATGAACGAACACAAATGTAACACAAATTACTTTTTCCTAGTCTTAGTGAATAGGATTCTTCCATCATAAAGACCTCCTCCAATGAATTTAAGAAAAAATATAAGGGAACCTGAACTCAGAACCTTTGGGGTAAAGTTATTCATTTCTAGTTCATTAATGGGATTTGCCGTGACCACTCTTTGAAATACCATGAAATGGTGTGAATTCGTACGGAAAACTCATTAGGCTGTAAAGTTGCTCGCTAGTAGTTTCACAGTTTAGATGCTTGGCTGCTAACTGAAAGGCTGGTGGTTAGAACCCACCAGCGCAACGCAGGAGAGAGCGGTGGCATCTGCTTCCATAACAGAGTACAGCCCCAGAGCCCTTTGGGGTAGTTATAATCTGCCCTATAGGGTGGCTATGGGCCAGCCCCGACTCCACGGCAACAGTGTGAGTGATACACAGCCCAGGCTGCCTGCGCATGGACGACGCTCACCCTCTCACTTTGCACTTTGAGTACGAGCGTGCCACCATCAGCTACACACTGAAGTGGTCACACTATTCTCAATTTGGAGCTGGCAGTCACTTGACTGGTCATACAGGCCCCCGCTCTTCTGAACCGGATTGGAACTAGAATCAGAGCTACTAGGAGATTGAATATGAGGCCGAGCCGAGGGTGCCTTGATTTGTTTAAAAGCACCTAGTCTCACTAAAGCAGCCCTGGTGGTACAGTGGCTGCATGGAAAAGTTGGCGGTCTAACCCTGCCAGCTGATCTGCAAGAGAAGGCAGGGCAGTCTGCTCCCATGGAGATTTCCAACCTTGGAAATCCTGCGGGTCATGTGACTCAGCACTGACAGCAGCACTTCGGAGCCCTGTGGTTTCTGTTGCTGAGTCTTGGAAGCACGGACTACCAACAGGACTGCTGTAGTCCCTCTATGCTACCGCCCCACCTCTTTCTTTTCCCAGGAATCTGTCTCTAAGCCCCTTTCTGTACAGCTCAGCATTGACAGAACGATTCACAAATTAGGTCAAAAGGAGACCTCTGCTGATCAAAATCTAGGCTGAACTGACAGTAAACCATCATTGCCTCAAGCACAATAAATGGCTGATCTCAATGTAGATTTTAAGCTATTATTAAGAAGGAAAGCAATCCAAAAGGTGTTTTTTTAAAAATTCAGCTTGACGAGCAAAAAATAAAGAATGAAAATTCTGAGCACTTAAAATTGCCTTAGTATCATTAAGGAACAGCTAAGCTTTAAAAAAAATTAAGTTCAAATTTCAAGACCAAAGTAAGATTTTAAGGATAATTCACATTCAAGGTCATTTACATTTTTGCTTTTAGTGAACACACACAATTAATTTGATACCCAGAACCAAAACCACTACCATCAGGTGATTCTAATTTACACTAGGGTTTCAAAGACTGTGAATCTTTAGGGGGGCAAACAGTCTCCTTTCTTCCAGAGTAGCTAGTGGTTCTGAACCACAGACCTTGTGGTTAGCAGCCCAATGCTCACCTGACAGTGCCACTAGGGCTCCTTTATTTTGGTACAGCATATGAAAACCAAGTCTTGTACCCATTCTACAACAGATTTGGGAGAAAATCTTTAAAATGCTTAGTTGCACATATACTTTCTATTATTTCTTCCAACTGACAGTAATAACCACCATTAACCCAGGAGCTGTGGAGCCTTTTCTGAGGCCCAGCAACTCCACTGTACAAAGTGGAATGGTGTCTCAGAGCACCAGGGCCGAATGGCCCCCAGCGTTCCAGGGACGGTGTCCCACAGGGTCCCCAGCTGAGTTTCTACAGTTGGTCCCAGATGGAGAGTTCCAGGGGTTTCTTCTCAGGTTTCTCTGAGGACTTGAGCCACTAACCTTTTGTTTGCATCAAGCATAGTCCCCATGTGCACCCACCGGGCGGGCCTTCCAAACACGGGCCAGCCCAACACGCCGACACAGATGTCTCTGGAAGGAGTGCATGTCAGTCCTCTCAGTCCCAAAGTTCAAGTGCACCCAAGTTTCAGCAAAGAGCCGAGAAACCCTCACTTTCTGGAACATACTTATAGCACACAGTAACACCAACAGAACCGTCTGAAGCTACTACACCATTAAAAGGAATCAAACTCTTACATGCAACATTTGTTACTGGCAGACATAGACGAGTTCTCCTGCAGAATTGTTGAACGGGAAACACCATTGAAACCGCCCTGGAGCTCCAGGTGTAGGTGGTCCAAAAGGTAGCGCATAAACTCGTGGGCGTCCTGCTGCTGGTAACCCCTATAAGCAAGAGACACATGCCGTCACTGGGGCAGCTCTGCTGCCGGGGCCTGCACCCCCACTTGCCTTACATTTGCATGGGAAGCTCCCTTTCAAGAAAAAGGCCCAACACTTAACAATACGTTTGAAGATTACAGAGTATTCCAGATAATTGGCCATGTAGCGATCTCCTGACCCCTCACTTATCCAAGTCCCTGGAGGGCTCCGAGTCTTCCCTGTGCCCACTGAGCCATCCAGAAGATGCTCAAAGGGCAGACCTGCACAGCACAGCTTTCCCAGAAAACTAGTCTAGTGGGTGTATGCCCTCAGCTCCCTTTCCTCCTGTCAGAAGGCAGGAGCTGCTACTGTGTCCTCTACCTCTAGGAGCACGGCCCACGTGAGACCAGGAGCCTCCGCTGTTCCAGATACACGTGTGGGTTTCTGACGTTTACCAGAGAGCGTACAGCCCTCACTCTGAGTTCTTCTGATTCTGACTACAGATGTTTACAATTCCATTTGAAAATACATTTTAAAATGTCTGAAAGCCTTAATAAATACCATTTAATACGTCAAACTCAACCATTTCTGGATGTCTTGGGTGACCATTTACAGAACAAACGGATCCATCTACCACAATGTGATGGTGATCTTCCCACTTCCTCCGTGCTCCCTTTGTCCTTCTTCCTGTTTCTTTTCCCTCCAGAGCTTTCCCTCGGGGCAGACACTGCCCTTCTCATCTCACAACAGGCGTCCTGAAGAGTGAGCCTACCTGTGATACTGTTCACCTAACTGGCCTGTGTGTTGTTTGGCTGAGAGTTGAACTTTACATGTCTTTGAAACACTCTTTAAAAAGGTTTTCCTCTGTAGTCAGCACAGATTTGTCTTGTTTGATTACAGAGGAGACACTCCTCACATGTGCGTGCATGTCTCTGTTTCCAGTAACATTGCCTGAGCAGGTGGTGAGGAAATGGACTTAGGATGAACCAACGGACCACGGTGGCAGACCAGCTTACATGGAAATGACACCGCCCCAAGGCAAACACTGTTCCTTACACTCACATGCTTGTGACTTCCAGGAAATAAATACTAAGCTTTCTTTTCAAAGTCTACAGAAAGAGCAACAGAAACCCAGCGCCCTTACAGAGGGACATGCTCGCTCCCTTCTGCGTGTCGGGAGGGTGCTGCTGAGACCTGGGCACATGAGGTGCCTGCTGTCCCCTCACGGCCACTTCCTGGCGTGACGAAAACAAACCACAGTCAGGCAGCTCTTGGAGACAAAGACACATTGCAGTACGGAAGGGTGAGAGAAACAGCGCCTGACACTTGCCCGAGGGAAACCCAACGGTTCCCGATATGACACAGCCCCCACTGAACCCTGCACCCCTCTACTGTGAGGCTGCCGCATGCACAACTGTGCCCCAGGCCCGCCCAGGCGGACTACGCCCTGGTGGAGCCAGGGCACTTCTGTGCAGCGGTGAGATGCATACAGGAGGGGACATCCTCATCATGCTGGGACACACTGGAGCTGACAGGGTTCCGATTTAAAATACCTTTAACATTCACAGAAGCAGTCCAAATTATTATTTTGCCCCAACGATCTGCAAAACCAAGGTAAGCTAAATTTGGCTATCCCAATTCAGTATTTGGCACCGTATTGTGGCTGAATTTCTTCAAGGCAAAAACACCAGAAAATTGCAATGACAAAATGATACAAAGAAAAGCAGAATAGCAAAGTTTCTATCTAAAACTAATATTGTTCAAGTATAAACTATCAACACTGCTGTACTTTTAACATCCTTTGCTGTTTATAAACAGCCCAAAAGATAATTGTTAGAGGAAAACATCACATGAAAAGAGCTGATAACTACAAGGCCAACCAGAATACCTAGTGCATAAGAATGACATTTAATTAATGGATTCACCTTCCTTTCTAGTCATGCACCCTAGCTAGAACTGACAAAAAATGAAAGAAAACCCTGCTTGACGGAAGGCAAAGTAAATCTAACAAGTCACAGTGTCCGTGAAAGTAGAAGTAGCAATGCCCGCTACGGAACACAAGAGAACGAGCATGTGGATCTGCGCTGAATTACGCGAGACTTTTCTAGAGAAAGGTTAGCATTAAGCTGGATCCAAAAGAAAGAGATCCAGATGCTGGGGCAGGAAGCACAAGCCACCCAAAGACACCATGCAAACAAGACAAGATCACATGAATATGGAAAGCAAGCAGTAACAAAACCCGGCTGCAACACCATGGGAACTACAAAAGCCCTTTGGCCAGCTACGCCGCTCTCACATGCCTGCATGTGTGTGTCTAAGCGCACTGGGGCGGTGATGCATGGGACACAACAGACGCATCCTACACAACCAGGCCAGGAGACGATGATGACACAAATTAAGAACATGCCATGTATGCAGGCACAATATAGATCAAAGAAGCAATTTATCTACTAAGACGGGATTATCTCAAAGTAGGGGGACAATGGTAATACCTTACCAATATATGTTAAAAATCATACACACACACATATTTGGAAGGCCACACAAAACTCTGAAAACTATGGTTATCTCAGAAAGCAGAATAATGGCTGAGGAACAGGGTAGGGCAGGGATTGGCAAACTGAAGCTCGAGTCATATAGAGTTTCAGTACGTACATGTGGCTCTGAAGTATAATTGGAAAGAATTTAAAGTATATGATTCAGGTCATTGTGATTTCATTTGCTTGCAAAAACAGATATATGGCTCTTTAATAATTTTTAAATTGCTGTGAGGGACACGATTGGCTCTTCCGTCATAAGTTTCCAAACCCCTGGGTAGTAGAAAAACTTCCGTTGCATATCTTTTAACCTTTGAATTTTGAACCACGTGTATGTATTCTGCCCATTTAAAAATAAACGTGAAGCTCTCTTATTA